GTGATTTTTTTTTTCATAAAATTTAAAGCAATATGGAAATGAATTATTTAATAAATGAAGACATCGTATATGATAAACATGTTCGCATATCAAAACCTTGCCAGGTTCAAATGATTTGAATTTGCATTTTGTTGCATCACAAAATTTAGTTTTGGATGGTTTTTTCAAAACATGATATTCAATTGGCAACCATTTAATATTAACCTCTTCATTGAATGCTGCTAAAAAGCATTTATGATGCCATTTTGAAAAATTTAAATTACTTTGACCACATTTATTTTGAATGTCAATAAACAAGGATAATAAAAACTCTGCAGACATTTCCTCCAATTGTTTCAATTGATGTCTTGTATAAGGATAATTTATAGATTTAACAAAAGTATCCCGAAATGCATTTTTATGTTTATTATGATCAATAAATAAAGCTTTATTACGAAGTGAATGTTTTTGTCTGGTTGACATCTAATATAATAACTCCAAAACCGTAAATTTTAGCAGCTTTTGTAAACTATACCGACCTAATAAAATCTCTGGTGTGTTACATAAGAAATAACTCACTTTTTGAGTCATCATGATCCTTTTTGACAGTCCTAGTTCTAAGATTGCATATGCCTTCATTTTGTAAAATATTGCCATTTTGAAAGTCAGTGTGAATGTATCCTGCTCTATGGATTTGAAAAGTAGTTTTAATTTAGTTAAAAATTTGTGAAGACTTCTATTATTAGCATTTGGTATTCACAAAGACAATTAGAAAGTTCATCGATCTAAATCCAAAATAACATAAATAACATTTATCATTTGATGCAAAATTCTTATGTATTGTGACAACTATATTAAACAGCTATATAGCAAGAACTTCTTGAAACTGTATTATTTATTGTGGCAGTTTATGCTGAGATAAACCGCCACATTTATTATTATTATAATTGTCTTCAATTATTCAACAAAAACAATAATGATAATGATAAAATTCGTTGATCTCAATCAAAAATAACATTTATTCATCGATGCGAAATTATTCCAACTATATTAAAAAGTAATGACTTTTTTTATTTTTATATATATATTATATAAATAAACAATAGTTAACTCTATATTAAACATATTAATCATGATTTTTATCTATTTAAAAATATAAATAAAATTATTACTGTTTACAAATTATAGAATAAATTTATTATTTGTATACATACCAAAGCTTTCAAAATTATCAGTAATATCAAGATTAACTTGGGCAGAATCAATTTGAGACAAATCCAAAAAATAAATAAACAGTAATTATAAGTTTTAATATAGATTAATTGAAAAAAATAAATACCTTTAAACGTCTTTGAAATTAATTTTGAGTTAATAATTTTGCTAGTATATATTTCATCAGGATGCTTTGATATCGGTAATGTTTTAATAGCTTTATCAGCATCTGAGAATTGCTTTTTAATTTCATTATCGTCTGAACTAGCTATCTTATCAAGCCAATCTTTAATTGTTTCACAAGCAACCCAAGCACCAGGTCGTTTTTGTGGATCAGAATCCATACATTGCTTCGCCAGTTCAACATAGCAGTTGGGAACTTCAGGTGCAAATTCAGGACGCAATCCTTTGCAAATCTTTACTGCAAGTTTTATATCGAATTCGTCTCCATCAAAAGGTCTTTGTCCAGTCGACATTTCTGACATGATGATTCCGAAGCCGTACATATCAGCAGCTTTTGTAGGCTTTTGACCCAATAAAACTTCTGGTGCCACATAAGGCATAACACCATAAATATCACCTTCCGACGTGTTTTCGTTAGATTTTTTAGACAATCCTAGATCCGAGATGTAAGATTGCATATTTTTACTAATGCCTTTATTTTGTAAAATATTACCACTGTGAAAATCTGCATGAACAAATCCTGCATAATGAATCCTCCATAAATCGTCAGAAATATCTTTAAGTATCTTTAATTTAGTTAGCCAGGTAAGATCACAAAAATTTTTTCTTAAAAACCTGCGAAGACATCCATTATCAGCATATTGAAATACCATAAAGTATTCATTTTCACTTTTTTGAGTTAATCCGTATATTTTAAGTTTACTACCATATAAACCACATGTTATATGATTTTCAAACTTCATAATTAAATAAATCAAATGAAATAAATTAGTTTATTATTTATTTAATAAATTATTGAATAAATAGATTTACTTACTTCTTTGACAGAACCAGACAAAGTCTTGAGTGCAACGATGCTGGATGCTTCACGCGATTTTTTATAAGAATAGTTGTCATCATCAATTTTATTTTCTTCAATTTTTCGCATACCATCTAACCAGGTTGCTGAATATACAGAACCGAATCCTCCTTTGCCAATTTCTTTAATATTAGATAATCTATTAAATGGAATCCATTCGATTGCTTTATCATATTCATAGGTTCTAAGTTGAAACTTCTTTATACAATAATCTATATCCTTATTTCTACTTGTCCACTTTGTTGTTTCTAAGTCAGGGTCGCATGGTAAACACCATGCTTTATACGTATTAAATTCATTACAATGCCCGCATTTTCCATATTTAGAATTACTTTATAATTACAATATATAATATATAGTATTTTATTTCATCTGTAAGTTCTATTTTAAACTTTATATCAAATATAAATAATTTTTACTTACCGACTAAATTAATGAAATGAAATGATTTGAAGGGTATTACATAATAGTAATGGTAAATAAGTATTTATGTTCTTGATTTGTAAACTTGCTTTGCTG